CAATGTTTTCCCCAAACCTATTGTGTCTCTGGATGCTTCACTTGTAGTTGTAAAGGAGGTAGATGTTGAAAAATATTTTAGAAATGAACAAAAGTTTGAATTTCGTGATCATATGCTTTAATGAATTCGTACAAAGGCATCCAAACAGGGGTTTTGTGTTGTAATTGGAATGTCTGATAATGGTTCAGATAGAAGAGGTACATGTGTGACATTGACATGTGAAAGAATCGGGAAATATATACCTCATCTATGGAGTTTCAAACGAGAAGAAACTGGTTCAAGAAAATGTGAGTGTCCCTTTAAGTTGTATGGTTATCGATTGACAAATAACAAATGGAAATTTAATATGATATGTGATTTACATAACCATAATTTGTCTGATAAGTTAGTCGGTCATCCAATTGCATGTCGCCTCATGTTGGAAGAGAAAGAATGTGTTTCTGACACGACATTGAATTTGGTGCAACCGAAAACATACTTGCAACGTTGAAGCGTAAAAGACCCGAGAATATCACAAATATCAAGCAAGTATACAATAGATGATACCAAACCAAGTTAGCACTGAGGAAGGATAGAACCGAAATATATCACCTCTTGAAACTTCTAGATGATAACAATTATGTATCTAGGTATCGAACATGCAAGGATGGTGTAACTATTAGAGATATGTATTAAACTCGTCCTAATTCCATAAAGTTGTTCAACAAGTTTCCCTATGCACTCATCATTGATTCAACGTATAAGGCCAACAAGTACATACTTCAAAAGTGTTTTTGAAGGAGTTCACATTAGCAAACCACCTTCTTCATCGCCTCCACCAAAAATCCCATTCATTGAGGAAATGCTGATTTTTAAACACAAATACATTGAACATATCGTCAATGTCAAAGGTGACTGTAATTGTGATTTTCAAGTTGTTTCTGTTTTGCTCAGTAGAGGAGAAGGGGGTCACACACTAGTATGTCATGCTCTTATCCAATATTTGAAGGGAAATAAAGAATCATACACACGAGTATATGAGAATAAAGAAAATCTTAAAGCAATTTATCACTTTATTGTTCCTTGCATTAGTGGACCTGCACCAGAAGATAAATGGATCAACTTTCCTTAAATAAGTCATCTCATGGCAAGTGCGTGCGATAGAGTGTGTATTAATCTTACAAGATACAGTTTCTCGAAAACTTTTCATTGCATATTGCTCCACCTCCAAATCTAAATGATTATATTATCTGTTTTGAATGAGTTTCAAATATGCGACATTTTGTTCAAGTTTATTTGAAATTGAGATGCCCTATACCATTTACATCACTAGAGTGGACAACTCATTATACAACGAAAGTCGAGACTTAGCCGGACTAAATTGTTGAAAGGATGGAAGAGTTCACCAAATTGAACAAGATTAAAAGGGAAATAAATAAATAAAAATCAAAGGAGATACCACCAATAGTTGTAAATTTGGTTGGAGACAAGTCTTTTGATTCACTTTAGTATTTACTTATCAATTTATTGTAAGTGACATTCTATTAATGTGTATCATGTCTAATATACACATTTTAAAGTTTTTCAAAAAAAATCTACATTAAATACTGTTATGTTTTTTGTTCTTTAGTGACAGGGAAGGTTCTGAAAATACATCTCTGAAATTAAGGGTAGTTCCAAAGATACATTTATGAAATGTACCCTAGTACAAGATAGAAATTGTGAGATTCATATTAGTCTACCACTACTATAAATATAGAACACTTGTCATTTTGTTTCATACCAAAATACAATACACCAGAATGAACATCATTTGACTTGTCAGAAATATTCACTTTAATGAATGACACTCTTTAAGTCACTGAGTACATCCCTCTGCAATACACACTGCAGAAACTTCTACCATATAGGAACAATCGCAAAATTGTGAATATCAAGTACCGCTCGTCATCTGTTAAGAATGAGTTGAAAATTGAGTTCAACAACTATGAGCTGAACACGACTGTTGAATTAAGGGCTATGTGGAAAACTTTTTTCCGTTTAAAATCAAACGTTTCGATCGAGCTGGATACGTCTATTTTAAGATAGATCGATAATATTGTCAAGATGTTGCATCGTCCCGCTGAATATTAAAATATAACGTTTGATCTATGTTAAAATTTCTTATGTATTAATTTTATGATATTAATGTAATATTTGATCTTTGTCAACATGTTTTTCCATTCTGCATTTTTGCTTCTGCTTCGTAACTTTCAGAAATATATCTCTAAAATTATTATGAATATACATCTCCGAAACAAATGACTCATCAATAAATATTTAATGTGTCCGAAGATATATCTCCAAAATTTATGAATATTATTGTATTTTCGTAAGATACGCTAAAAAAGCATAGGGTGTATTAAGAAACATTTAAAATAACCATTTTACCTATATAAAAAGTTGGGCCGAGCTTGCCTAGCCCATGAGATTTCAATTCGTCACACTACCAGCATCTAATAATATTAGTAAACATTTTAAAATTATCATTTAATTTTAAACTATTAATAAAAACATGTTTAACTATATAAATTTATTAAATAGAGATCTCTAATTTACTACCAATGAATTGATTCAGTCTCAGCTGATCAAGTAACATGATAATCCAAAAATATATATTTAACTAAAAACTTTAGAACTTATAATAATTATTATTACTTTTATTTGAAAAAATAAATAAATTTCACACCTATAAATTTTAACCCCTTTTATAACGAAGATACACGTAATTATAATAGGTAAAAATTCAATGCATGGTGAATGGAAGTTATAGTTAGTTGTCAATTTTATCTTTTCTACATAAGAATATTTGAATGAAAACCCATATTATTATATTGGAGTATTATAATAAAATAATGAATGTGATGGGAATTCTTGCAGAGTGCTGACAACATGGGTAACAGTTTGCACTTTGCAGGGCTTTTTATAGGATCAGGGATTTATTTTTAGCCGACATTCTTTTGATTTTTTAATGTCATGAATTGCAGTGTCTTTACCATTTCCACTTAGTGGATGGTGACAGACACCAAGATATAGCCACAAGTCAAAAGCACCATTTTGAAAATGGTACGAGGCTGCATTTCAAAAAAATTATTTTAAAGAGTCTAATTTTATTTACTATAAAGTAACTCACGAACTATCGAAAGAACTAAAATTATTTAATTAAAACTGACTTAATGAATCGGATATTGATGGTGAAAAAAATTTCTTATAATATGAGTTTAAACATTAAAGAGAATTCTAGAACACAAACTATGATTAACTATTTAAAATAGTCTAATTTCATTTATTATAAAGTAACTCACGAACTATGATCGAAAATATTAAAATCATTTAAAATCAAAACCGATTTAATGAACCGGATATTAATAGTGAAAAAAATTTCTTTAAACTATTAATTAATAATTTATAAAAGACATGTATCACAATAAATCTTAATTTGTTTTAAAAATATTAAAATGACATAGCAAATATAAAAATTTTGATTAATTATATGTGAAATTGTTTTACACTAGCAAATGCAATATCTTTAAACTCTTTGATTAATTTATTCATAGATTGTATTCATAGATTATATGTGAAATTGTTTTACACTTCCTATAATTTATATTTTATATATATAACATGTTATTGCTTGCTTTTAAATTTGAAAAGGCACTACTACCTCCAATATATCAAAGGTTGTCTTCTCTCTTCTAAACATCAAACAACTTTTGTTTTGTTTTACATGAAAAATGTGCATTTCTTAATATTTTTTCTTTATGTTGACAAAAAACATCATATCATCCGAACATGCAAACCTTAACAAGGACGACAGATTGCTTTACTTTTAGCTAATGATAAAATCGTGTTTTAAAAGATAAGAGCTAATGTTACAAATCACAAGCTTTATGACAGCAATTATTACACAAACTTAACGACAGCAATTATGTTATTCCTCATAGACAGAGAAGTTCACATATGCATCACGAAAACATGAAAACAACCACCATTCAGAGGTTTAGATTAAACTTGCCATGTCAATTGTGATGTGGTTGTTTTTGATGATATAATTTCTGTAAAAACTAGCAAATATATAAGGCTAACCAGGGCGTTATATAGAAGGACGAATTCAAAGGGATTTCATAGCAGTTCCAGTTATGATATACCCAAAAGAAAAATGATGCAACAGCACAGCCATGTAATAACATTAAGTGGGAGAAGTGACAAATTGTACATGGTGGCTAACCTGTGCATATATCAATAATAACCAGAATGTGATACTGATAAGTAACAAAATTCGCAAGTCATGACTACGGCAATAACTATATATGTAACAAAAGTTGGAAAAAAAAATTGATTTCAAGAAGCCAAACTGGCTTCAAGCCTAGCCAATTCAGTTCATACATCCAATCCTCTCTTTCCAAATGTTTGAGAATGGATTGGGCTCAGTGTTGTTGCAGAAAAGTAACAGTCAAACACTTCTATGCCAATTTCTCTGATTCTAGGCGGCCATATTATCACATCTGATGTTTCAGTTAGATATCTACACAGGAAAACAAAACTCATCTTCAAGGGGTAATCTGTCAGACCAGATTAGCACAAAACAACCGCAACCGGAGGATCTCATCACTTTAAGCCCATCAGCAGCACAGGCAGCAGCACTCATAATTTCCCCAAATTTTTTTTGACACTTTCCATAAAAGCTGCACATTGACAGAAGAGTTACAACTTTGTCACCAAAATAGAAGCAAATCAGAAACATGCAAATAAATCTGAAGTATAAAAAAGGAACTATTTTTAACAAAAGGTGGCGGAAAAGAGAAGCTTCTTGAATACAAGATTGTTGGCCCAATTAAAAATATGCTTGGCATATAACAAAATCCCCGAAACAAATTTATGTTTAAGATCAAGGTTTAGAAAATATGTTGAAAGGCTTGACAGGGTCAGAGAGCTTACAAGAGACTGATTTCTTAAATAAATTGCTTTGAAGAGCCATCATCCTATTGCCATGAGGGATGTTTGTAACTGAATCTATCAGTTCCATCCCAACCACCATCAGGTTCTTTCCTTTTTAATGCACCGGCCATCTGAAACATCTTCAAATGATCCTCCATCAAGGCTTGTTGACTGGAGACAGGCATCTGTCTCAATCCTGAAGGCAATCTGTCATCTCTGCGCTCGGTATCCGTAACACCAGGGCCTGAATTAAGATCCAGACTCTGACTACCCCATTTTCTGCTGTCAGGAATTACGTTGCTTGTACCACCTGGAAGACTCATAACATAGGGACGTGGATATGTGGATGAGACAATGCCACCAGGCCCAATGGGCTGTGAGGGCATGGTAGGAAAGCAAAGTCCACCCACAGTTGTTGAATCCATAAATGGTGTTGAACAACCAGAAAAAGCATTTGAAGATAACGGAAAATTGGTTTCAAATGGAAATCCTGGATATGGAAAGGGAGTAGAAGATGGATATGCAACAGCTGGGGAGGATGAGAGCACTGGCCCTCTGTACATTTCAGGACTAAAAGGTGTGCTACCTGTAGAACCTATGATCCGCTGTGTCCCAGAACCGCCAACATAACTCTGCTCCCCCCTACCTGTCAGAAGTGGTGGGACAGTAATTGCAGAATACGAATTGCCCGGAGGAAACCATGAAGAATAATTTCCAAATTCTGCATTATTTGTTCTAGTGCCATGAACAGAACTTGAAAATGGGATAGTACTTTTCATCTGCAGAGTACGAGTTGGGACTTCGGTGCTAACTTCATCAAGGCCTGGTCCATTATTTAAATCGAAGTCTCTTGAGACACTTCCACCATTAGATAACCCACTGGACAATGAAGGTTGTTTACTCGGTAAAGGAATATCCATTTTACCCATAGAGAAAGATCCAACTTCAGGAGTCTCGTCCAACCTGTTTAGATCAAGATCAAATCCCACAGAGCTGCGGTCATGAGCACCGGACTCTAAGTCACCTCGGTAAGCAACGTCCTCAAAACCGACTTCATCTGCAACATTTAAATCAAAATCTAAGGGAGCGCGGTCTTGTTTGACTGAAGTGGCGTCGACTGGTGGAATATCAACAGTATTTGATGGCATCTCAGCATTTTTCCTAGGTTCAGCTGGCCGGAATGCACTTGTAGCAGCTGATCCTTTCCACCCAAGTTCCCCCTTACTTCGCAACGGATTTTCTGGCGGAACAACCGGTCCTTTGGCAGCAGAAGCTACTGTAATTGAAGCATGGAAGGCCCCAGAGAGGGACGGAATGGGAAAAGGCAATGGGCAAGGAGCATGAACTGCAGATGAACTGATAGGTTCTTCCTGTCTAACAATATCCCCCTGGCCTACATCCTCAACAGGGTAACCCTCATTTAAATCAAAGTCCAGTTTTACAGCTGCATCAGAACCACAAGCAATTGGGGATAGATTAGCATTGCCCGCATTCAACTCCGCAGCAACTGCAGATTTCTTTCTTTCAAGAATAGAATCACATGTTTTCAGATCTTCGTTCTCTTTTACAGAAATTGGTAAATCTGGGTGAGCTAATGAACCAGAGCCACTAACCTCTTTTCTACCAAAATTCTCTTCAGAACGTTCATTAACATCATCTGCAACTGCTGAATCCAGATCCTTTTGTTTTTCATCAGTTTCAATATCACCTGGCATCACATGATTATCATTTTCATCCCTGGCTACCGTCAAAGCATTACCAGAAGAAGGTGACTCCCTTTTTAAATCAATGGACTCGCAGTTATCTGTAACTGACGAGCCTTTTTGCACCGGCATAACATTACCTGTCACTTTATCTGCACTGATCTGGGTCTTACTATCTGCACCAGAAGATAACTCGGGGGATCTTTTACCTTGTTCATTTTCATTCATACTACTTGCAATGGTTTCTGAAACCAACATTTTCTCGTGCTCTGCAATACCGCCAACCATGTTAGCAATCTTCTGATCATCATCAAACGAGGAAGTCCCCGACTTCAATTTAGAGCTGGAACTACTGCAGTTTTTAGCCCATTGAGTTCCTGATTCCCTCTGCTCCTGAAAACGCTCTGCTCCTCCAACTTCTGCAATAGTCTCCTTTCTACCTGAAAAAACAGTTTCGGAAGTGTCCTCTTTGGTGTCCGGCCGTAAGCATGGACCTTCAGCATTTTGTATTGCATCGGTAGTAGAGAAATTTATTTGAGTTTTGCTGTCACCATTTTTCTCCAGACGGCCAGATGAAACGGCTTCACCATCTGAAAAATCATGCGATATTGTCATCAAAGGATGCCTAGAATCCTTTTTGAATTGCAATGGCTCCACAGTTTTCCGAGTATGCTCTCCAGTAAACCCGCCATCAGAATGTCCAAGAGTGCGTGCAGCTCCTTCAAGAGAATGTCTTAACTTGGAGTCATTCCCTGAGCTTGATTCATCAGCAGCAGGAGACTTCCTCTCGGGGGAAGGCAGAGGCGATACGTTTTCAGATCTGGACATTTCTCCTGCAGCCACAGAAGCAAGCAGATTCATCCCATCATCTCCAGGGGACACGGAGGCACTTGCTTCAGAGAATTTCACACAGCTTTCAACTAATGCATTCATGGGGCTTAAAGAAGCATCATAAGTCTGACCTGATCTGGAAACAAATCCAGTTGAAGAACAAGTTGTTTTTGGTATTTCTGCAGCTTTATCACCATCATCATTAGCCCTGCAACGCTCGCCCACCGATGGAGAGCCCTTAGCTTCATCACAAGCAGTAGTGTCATTATTATTAGACGCATCATTTATCACATTCGACACATGGGTCTGCAAACAATCAATTTTAGCTTTAACTCTTCTGTCCTGATTATCCTTTTTGATGTCGGCAGGAGGTGATGTTTTGCCACATGTAAAAGAAGGTTCTTCAAAAGTGCCCCCGCTAGCTCCCCTTGAAGGACTGCGGCCGGTGTTAGGCAACCTGAGAATCAGTCGCTGATTATGCCCTTGATCAGTAAGGGGCTGATCGGATGGTTTTTCTTGGGACATTCGAGTCGGGGAAACTTTATCAGAAGGTGAATTTCTTGCTGAGTTCTTGGCAGAACTATGATCCTTCTGAACTGCAGCAATACCAGCTCCATGTACACCATTACTAGACTTCCGAGATCGGGATGCAGCACCAGGTACTTTGTTCACACTCATTGACACTGCAGAGGAGCTCTTTGCATCTTCCCGGCAAGAACCAATAGCCTTTGCGTGTTCAGTAGAACAAGATCTGCTGTTGTTTTGAGATTGACTAGAACTGCTGCTCCTCTCCTCCTTGATAGGTGTCAGAGGTAGATCTGATGTTGCACAAACAACAGGTTTAACATTTTGATCTTTTGAGTTGCTGCATACTAAGGCAGACCCAGATTTAGTTGAGCCAGGGGATGAAGAGAACTTCAATGCTACTTCTCCAGAATTAAGTTTAGATTGGGAATTTTTGGATGTTGAAGGTTGAATAGCAGAGGTCTTCACAACATTCTCAGAGGATCCTACTGTTTTCCTATTTCCGGAGTGAGAAACATCTGATGGTGTTGGCTTTGCAGGCCAAGAAACAGCACGGGTTGAACCAGTTTTTGTATCAGTCATATTCATTTCAGCTTCAACACGCTTCTTCCATGTGTCTACCAAAGTCCGGGCTTTCCTCTGAATTTCAGAATTTTTGTGGCTACGTAAATTATTAACAGATTTTCCAACATTACAGGTTTGTAGTGCATGAAGGTTCACGGGAAGATTATCCAATGCACGAAGTAACGCTAACAAAAACTCTTCAGACTTATCAACATTACCATCGCCAATTTTGCCCTTATGGACCTCCTGCAGCCATTCATCTAACACAGGCAAACCCCGAATCTGTACAAACCAGCAAAGACAGTCATACCGCTCTGTGAGCGATATTACATCAACAAGCATTATTCGCCCTGACAAATCTATTTTTTTATCAGCACTGTCAGGTTGCATGAGTTGCAGAAGTCTTTTAACACCGTCAGAGTCCACAAGCCCACCTTTATTATCAGTGATTTTAGCAATCTCAGACCTTAGCATGCTCTCTGGTCTAAATTGACCAGAATCTCCATCTTCTACTTTAAATAATCGTTCTTTTTTAGATGAATCAGATCCCTGATCACCTCTTTCTCTCTTTTTTCCCTTACCCTGTACACCAAAGGAAGAACTATTTTGAATGTTATCAGAACTAGATTTCAATGACTGCGTTGACGTTGGACCATTCAAGGGTTTCGGAGAACGGCCTCCTGACTGCACAGCCCCATGCATTTCTAGTTTTGTCTTATCTAAAAGCTGGTAAACTTCTTCCTGCTGTTCCTGAATTCATTGAAAGATCACAAACTAATCAATATACAATTATTACACACAAACAAATTTTGAAAGAAAATAAAATATATATATATGAAGACTAACATTAATGTAGTCCTTATCGGTTAGCCACCGTAAACAAGTGTTCTCAATGTCATACACTCGCCTACAAACAAATGCGGATATCCCTGAAGGAAGTTCAACACCTTTACGGAGAAATGCGACTTTACAAGGATGGAGTAATGATGCAGCATGTATCTCATCCTTGTGAAAGGAGTAGAACACTTCGTTTGGTGCAGCTTCCAGCACAATCCCTTTAGAGAGATTCAAATCAGCAGGTCGGTAAAACCAATTCACTTCTAAAGTTGGACTTTCTTCTTTATCAAATGTTATCTTGCGAATTATTCCAATAAAAGGAGGGGAGTCCTGGGGTGGTTTGAAAAGTGCACAGTCACCAACACGAATCTTGCGTCCATCCTACAATGAGTAACCATTAGAATTAATTAAGTTAAAAGAAATTCAGGAAGACAGCAAGTAGAAAGGCGACAAAGGAGAAAACGACAAGCATAGAAAAAGACAGTTAAACCAAAACGGAAAGGGCTGCAGAAGATGAAGCCAAATGCAAAATTAAATCATAAAAAACTGTAAGCAAATTCATTAAGGGAAACAATGATGGTCATGTATAAATAGAAATTTGGAATAAGATGCAAACCATGATAGATTTTTTATAAACATGCTAAAAGCAAATTGAAGCTCAAAAGACAATCAATCCCCAACCATCGAAACGAAATATTGATAGAGCACAAAAAACAAACAGCAAAAACCAATTTGGGTCACGTAATCAATATTCATAAAAATGAATAAGATGACAATCATAGATGATTTAAAAATGTTACAAATAAATTGAAACACAACATGCAATCAATTCAACCATCAGAACACAGTTTCATTAGAGATAGAGCTCAAGAAAAAACAATGAATCATTAACAAAAATATAAGCGATTTAAAAAAACAATCAGCAACGGCGATTGAGGCAACACTTTCATAGAAAAAAGCAGGTAATCATTTAGTTCATCCAAAACAAATGAGACCCAAAAAAGAACTGAGGTTGCAATTTCCGCAAATAACCACTAAATCAGACACATTTGACGAATATCTCTGGCCGGAATATATTTAAAAAATGCCGGTGACCCATTTTGTTCATTCAAACAGAAATGAGACCCATAATACCATCCAAAGAAAATCACATCTTGAGGATGTCAATTCCCCCTAAAATCATACTAACAAATGCAACTTTGAACAAATAAACAGATTATTAGAAGAAAAACATCTTCATCTAAATTAAGGTTTAGCCTCACAAAAGAGGTAAAACCGAAATGAAAAACCTTGAACCATAAATATTAAAAATAAAAATCAGCTCCAAAAAACAAAAAGCAGATAGATAGGCAAATTAATGAATCTCAATTTCAATTAAGTTTACATCTTGTAATAATCAGAAAAGGAAAAAAAATACAAATCGATAAAAAAAGGAGCTTTAATGGAAAAAAATTGATATACTTTGCATATAAATTGAGACGGTGAAGAAACGGTGACTACAGTGGTCGCGTTAGAAGGTACAGGCCACATGTGCCGATTGTGTTTCCACTTCTCACCACCGAACCCATACATAATCCTCCATCTTCCGAATCGATCCAAGCTTCGTCCCTGAAAAGAAACATCAATTCGAAATCGAATTCCCCCAAATTCGAAACCCTAAATTCAAAACCCAAACAAAACAAAGAGGAAACCCTAGATCAAGCAAGATCTCCTCTTACAATACACCATGATTTGAAATCGAAAAACGATCGAATCAAAAAGGAAGCATGAGATTAACGGTGGTTGGTGAATGAATGAAAATTTCTAGTTCTAGGGCTTATGTGGCGAAAAGGGAAAAAATCCGAAGATAAAGGGAGGGATTCTTGTTGTGATGATTTTGTTGGTGAGGGTGTTGATGTATAGATAGATCGATGGAATTTTTTGATCGTTCTGGAAATAGCGAAAATCTCAGAGATTTTCTGCGAAGGAAGCGCGACGATGATGAGAGAGAAACTAGAGAGAGAAAATCGAGGTTGGGTGAGAGAGAGAAGAGTGAGAATCGCGAAACGCCGAGATTTTGAGACAATAATAATATTTTCGGAGATAAATAAATTTTCGGTTCTTTTTTTTTTTTTTGTTTAGGTTAATTGTAATGTTGGTCGTTTAGTATTATGTTTCATTTAACGACAATGGTTGAAACTTTTTTTTTTTGTTGTAATATACAATTGATTAGAGGTTGAGTTTTAATGATGTCATAAATGAGAGATGGTTATGTTTATGTGTGAATTGCATTGATTGATGATTTTGTTTTATATTAAGTAGATTCGCATGTAATAGTAACTCATTTTCATGTTATTAAATGTTTTTTTTTTAAATATTTTTTAATATTTTCTCGAAATATGTATTTGATGTTGAATCTTAATGATGTCATATATGAAATTTTTGTATGTAGGTTGAGTTGATAATTTTGTCTTATGTAGGAAATTTTTTTTTTCTTTCTTTTTTTTTAAATTGTAGGAGATTCTTGTGTAACAATTTATTTTGGTGTTATGAAAATATGTATTAATTTTATTGATTTATGCATACTATGCAATAAAATTAACATGAAAATAGACATTGTTTTATATAAGTATAATTGTAATTGTAATCTAAAAAAAGATTTTAATATTTAAATTATCTTAAACTTTTAATAAAAGGATATTTGACTATTCCAAATAAACTTATTTAAAAAATAAGAAAGACTATTAAAAAAGATATTGATAATTTATTTTGAAGAAAAAACAATTATTAAAAATATATTTGAAAATTTTAAGAGTCAAACTTAACTTTTTTAAATAGAATTTTATTACCTTTTATATAAATATAAATTACTTTTTTTAATATAAATTGTTTATTTTTTTATAAAGATGGATTAGAAGTCAGAATTTTTAATTAAATTTGAAAAGATTTCTGACATCTCATTGAAACGCTCTGAATATATAAACATTAATTATTATAATTTTTGGCTTATTTATTAAATCTAATATATTTATTAAATTTAATATATTAAGTTTTAAAAAATTATACATGGCTTCTAACAAAAATATACTAGTATATTTTTTTATCGTAGCCATAAAATGTTAAACGGCGTCGTTTGGTGCTTTTGTAACAATACATAGAATTTGGTTTTCTAGAACAAAGTATTATTTAGAGAAGTGCTATATAATGTTTTTAATTCTTTTTAATATATGCACCCCTTGTCGCTTTATGCACTCATTATGCATGAGTCCCCAAAATAAGGCACCATTTATGTATTGGACCAAACTGCTCTTCTCTATACTCCAATCTGTTTACATGCAACATTCTGTCTTATAACTCAATACACCTTAATTTACTATTTGCACTCGTTTGTCTTCAATTTATATTTGTGCACTCCTTATCTCTTTCTCCTCATATTAACTACACACATTTAATATTCTATGCCTAATTAGAGCTTTTCTTTACTTTGTGTGTTCATTTTATCATGGCCTTATGAATCTAATTTTGTTTATTGAGTTAATCTCTTCGGATAATTGTGATGAATTGATTTTACGAAGGGAGTAGAAATAAATATTAAGCAGCGGAAAAAGTAAAGATCAGAGTTTTAAAGAGATAGAGTTAGAGAGATCACACTCAAAATTATATTGGTTCATTCTTAAAATATGTTGTCTACATTAATTTCTAAGATTTTGTTTGAGAGTTTAGAGGGAAAGGGAGCAGAGGATTTTGAAAAAAAGAGAATAATTGAGTGAAAAGAATAGAAGGGTTTATGTGGGAAGAATTTTGGGGGATTTATTTTTATTCAAAAAACTAAAATCTCCCAAATTTGGAGGAAAAATGTGTTTGGATGAAATATTTTAACGAGAAAAAGTGATTTTTTGAAGGAATTTAAAATAACTTGATCAAAATTTATCGTTTAGATAAAAAGATGAAAAATTGTTAAAATGATATAAATTTATGAAGTATTTTATTCATGTTAAGTTTAAGAATTTTCAAATGACACTAAAAGTAAAGAATTTGAAAATTCTCATTCACCCTATTTAAGAATTTGCATATTGGTCCCTTTTTTTTTTAATTTGGCTCAAAAGTTTTCAAAGTTATGAAAATGATTCCAAAAATTTAACAATGAATCATTTTAATATTCCATCGCAACAAAAGAATTTAAGTATTAAATAGAGTTATGTTGTTTTTAGCTAGATTAGTAAAGAGCACACTAGCTGCTATATATGTCTTGTGAATTTTATGTGTTTTTGCATGCACGAGAGTTACTTTGGTGATGAGTTTTGTCACACCAGAAATGCATTTCTTGTTCAGCATACTTTAGGGCCAGAAGATGGTGAATGGAATGGAAAACATCAAAAGGAAGAAGAAACTAGAATGAGATTGATGTGGAAGAAGGAAACTGGGGTAGAAAGCAAAAGGATAAGATGTAAGCGCTAGAAGACAAAAGACTGCAAAATAGTACAACTAGTGTAACGCGTAGCTTATCCCTTCTACATAATAGGTCTGCCACCAGACGCTTTGTCCTTTACATGTGTTGTATACCTCACATAGTACTGGTACTAAAGAGAAATAATAAAGGGAATATGTTGATTCCCATAGGCCCAAGACTGATGGATAATCAAGAAGCTCATGATCTAATACCTCACAAAACTCTATACGAGGATGTCTATAAAAGGATCCATTGGAATAAATGAAAGAGAGAGAGAGAGAGAGAGAGAGAGAGAGAGAGAGAGAGAGAGAGAGAGAGAGAGAGAGAGAGAGAGAGAGAGAGAGAGAGAGAGAGAGAGAGAGAGAGAGACTCAAATAGAAAACGACTGAGAGAACTTGTGTGGAAGTAAGCTAAATTAAGTTTAAATAATCTCTCTTATTTTATTCTCGAGTATAAGGCACTAGTACCTAGAGTGATAGAACTCACCTCTTGTTGATTGAAGATTGCAAGAAGATGGAGAAGTTACTCTTAGATTTTCATTTCTTTTTCATTGTGGGTTTTAGAATGTTTAGCTTAGGAACCAATGTTGATGTATGTATTGAGATCGCAATGAGATAAACTATTTTATGTTGAGTAATTTGAAGTTAATTTTGAGTTAATATCCTGTGTTATTTAATGTGAAGTTAGTGGTTAATTTTATCATGCATTTTATTGTTATAAATATGATTGTTTGGATGATCGTCTTAGAAAAAGATAAAAGTTTGATGATGTGAGGAATCCATCAATAAGTGGAACTCATGATAAATATGATTGACCCACTATAAAGAGTCTCTGGTGCATCAAATGGAAATCTTATGATACCAACGAGATGCACCCCAGCATTGGATCAATGTCCAGCGTTAACTACAAACTTGTAGTATTCGGGCGTCATTAACTACAAAATTATGGTACCTTGAAGATGCTGCCTTGGTAAGAGCCTTGATAGAAAGGAAATGTGAAAATGGCGTTAGGTTGGGATATGAATATTGAATTTTTTACCCAACCATCATGAAAATTGACTTCATACCTCGACACAACCCTAGATTTGGATTTGAAATCCCTTCTTTTGTTATTTTGCGAATTTCTCGAGGAAATCATAGATCTTAATAGGAAGGTCTTGAGGTGGAAATAACGATTAACCAAATTGATTGCAATATATCTTCATATTTTCTTCTAAAAGTTTTCGCTTTTGAGATCCGAGGGAACTATGAGCGATGAAACTAAGACGAAAACATGGATTCGACAAAAATGTAGAAATCAAAAGTTGATTCATTTTCATATTTAGTAGCCTGAAGAAGTTACGAGTTGGTAAAATCACATACCATGTCTGAGATTGAGGAAATTGCAAGAATCAGAAGTTGATTCCCACATAAGATTCCATTGTTCCATTCAAGAACTAGGAATGGATGCTCTAGCTTCACGAAGGAACTAGAAATAATGAACGGTTGCTTAAATATCATTTACGGTGACGCGGATGGACCTGTATGGTTAGTACTTCAATGCCCAAGTCAATTCATGATTCAAGATGAGTATAGTGAAATTGGAGATCAAAGACTGTACCTTGCTCTTTGCATGTGAACTGTTTTGATACTTTGAATTGAGTAGAGTGGATTTGAGATTAATTAGATTTTGGTCATTGGGCCTTTGACCGATCCTAAACACACACACACACACACACACACACACACACACACACACACACACACACACACACACACACACACACACACACACACACACACACACACACACACACACACACACACACACACACACACACACACACACACACACACACACACACATATATATATATATATATATATATATATATATATATATATATATATATATATATATATATATATATATATATATATATATATATATATATGTATACACATACACATACACACACACACACTACTACGAAAAATATATTTTACCTCCGTTGAAAAAAGGGTTTTACCTTGGTTTCACAAGTGTGGTAACGAAGGAAATCGTGAAAATTGGACACTTTACACATTGTTGTTGTTCTAGCAAGGGGAAAGTTGTATTGGTTGGTTTGATCCCTAACAACAACTTTTTTTCAAAACTATAAAGTGGGTGCCACATACCTCTCGATTTTTGTTAATATCTAAGGGGAAAAGTGTGTATTTACGTTGGTTTGAAATAATAAATGAGGGGTAAAACCTAGTTTGTTGTCATTTATAATTTTTTTTAAATCTAAATTTGAATGACCTATATTTTTTTAGATAGAAACTATATACAAATTTTGTGACAGAATCAAAACATTTTATTTTATAACAGAACATAACCAAACATACACATAATACCAAATTACATTGTTTAAAAAACCAAATATACACATATCCAAAAGGGTATATGATGACATGTTATTTCACATCATTTAACAAGAAAAATCAGATAAATCAGACTTTAAATGAGCAAGTTAGAAGCAAAAGAGTGAGAAAAAAAGCCTGAAATAGAGCTTTTGGGTGAAGAAAAGCACTTATCGTGAAAATTGGAAGAAAAAAAAAGGAACAAATACATGTTTCTCAACGGGTCCATGTTAAAACCCAATGCGGCCACATTAGTGCTTTTTTGACTGACACACTTGTGACTGCTTTATAAGGAAAAAGAGGAA